ACTGTACAAAGCTCTCTACATCCTGCAAAGCCCTCTACACATTGTGTGGTACTCTAATTCTCCTGGGGACTGGCGCCTGATATTGGATGTGCATATGCTTTGGCATTTTATGGATTACGCGGTATTGAAGTCATGTCTATATGAGTTGGAATAGGCGTTTGGTATGGGATCATGGGCGTTTGGGTTGAGGGCTGTATATCATGAGACTGGACTGGATGGGTTATGGCGTTGCGGGATGCGTTCCCTCGCTGCCCATGGGATTTAGGGATTATCTACAAGGATACATCTCAAATCAAACAATTTAAATTTAACGATTTATCCTGTATCCAACTGTATCGACTGCGTTATTCGGATGCAGTTTCGAGGGATGCAGCGGCCCCACACCTCGGCCCCGATAAGGCGGGCTGATAAGGCGGCGAAGACGCGCGCGGTCCACGTTCCGCGTTCGCAAACAAGAACCATAACAAAGTCAACCACCACAACGACGACCCGCATTCCACCACTCGACACACTGCTACTACCCAGAACAATCACAACAACATCTCCACGTAAACCGTCTATCCAACTACAAAAGCGCACTCGACGCACAAACCCCACCACAGCGCGCCCGCGCAACACCAATCCTCACCTATCACCACACCTGCCACACCACCGCAAAATGGACACCTCCCACCGCAAAATCGAACTCCAATCCCCATCAGACTTGACCTTCCTCACATCGCAAATCCGCATCGCCGCGCGCCAGAAACTCGACTTGCACCTCCCGCCCGTGCCCTCAAGCGCTACAAACGGCGATGCGCCAGACGAACTGCGGCGCTCGGTCGAAGACCTCGTTGAGATTTTCGTGGCGAAAGTGCTGCAGGGGATAAGGCATAATGTTAGTATCAATGGGATTGATGTTGTGGAGAGTGGGGAGGGGGAGGGGATGGATGGGGTTGTGAATGGGAATGGAGGAAGGGAAGAAGAGAGCATGGTCGAGACGGTGGAATACGAACCTTTCGACGATAAACTGCGGAGTCAGTTGTCTGCTACAGTGGCTAAACGCGATGCGCTCATTGCGAAGATAAGTCAGCAGAGGAGGACGACGCCGAAGGTTGCGGCGGAGACGTGGATGAAGGGGTGGGAAGAGGAGGAGAGGGTGTGGGCGGCGCTACAGGAGAGTATGGAGAAGGATGCTTCTGCTGCTGGGAATGGGGGTGGGGATGTGGCTGGGGTGGAGGCGCTGCAAAGGCAAGATGAGGTTGAGAGGAATTGGGAGAGAGCGGTCACGGGGTTACAGAGGCTGAACAAGGGGTTGCCGGAGACGAGGGCGAGGTTGGAGAGGGCGGGGGATGTGGTGGGGTATCTGGGGGGTGGGAAGAAATGAGGGGGGTTTTGGGATGGGGTGTGTTACAGGCGTTTGGGGGGATGTATGGGTATAGGCGTTTCTTCTAGAGTATATGGGTTGCCTAGGAATTGGTAGTGATGGGATACCCACGCGTGTCGCTATAGCGAATGTCGCTTCGGCGGTGTGTTAGGTTGCTTGCTGCTCATGCAAACAGACAGCGTGTAAAGCAGGAGTCGTCTTGAAATGATTCATCTCATGTAAGTATCTTCTACGTGTAACTCTATACGCTCCTACAAGTGTGTTCCAATAGCTGCAGGAATGGCAACACCGGTCTAAACTCAGTCTCATTATCGGCACTGCTACCATTCTCCATAGCATCCTCAAGACCTAGGCCCCCTTCGTAGCCTCGAGACTGACGTATACGTTCGTTGTTGGTGACGCCGTGCTTCCGCTAGTTCAACCCAACGGGAACGCTGCGGCGATGTGTTTATGTGTAGTTCTTCGTCTGACTTTGTTTAGTATGTATCACGCATATACGGTTTGACATGTCGCTAACCTGGGTCAATACGCCAGCCTCGCCTAGACGTCCGATAACTAAACGTGCCCTTGTTCATGTAGTATCGCAAGATGAGGCCGGCGAGGGCGAGGGTTATAGTGAGGAAGACGCTGAGAAGGGTGAAGATGGCTTCTTTCGTCCACCCTGATGTGGAGACCGTATTATGTGATACAGTATCTGTCGAGATTCTGTAAGCGCATCGCCGTAACACATCAAGAGAGAAAGAGTTACTGTTAGTCCCCATTATGTAGTCCGTTTGTTCACAGTTGGTTTGAGGGTTCGAGATCGGCTGGATTGGTGTCTTCCGACTGCGAGTTTATTGGTTTTGGGGACCTGCAACAACTAGCGATCCGTTTGTTCTTTGGCGTTTTGACGTTTTGCTTCGATTCAGGCTGAGAAAGGAGATCGTAGTCTGACTGAATGAAGGTGCTACTCATGTTGGGTGGCTTCCAGTCCAGCTTTATACCAGAGAAGTGTACGTTTACCACTGCCTCGCTTCGCACAGATCTAGTGGGCATGCGTAGTTCGCTTCCCAGAATACTCGTGGGCAATATGGGCAGGAGACACGGTATGATGCGTCAATCTGAGGAGTAGACTGTGGCCAACAGCCGGGGTCCATTGAAACGTGTACCTGTCTGACCAATGCCAGACCAACGGGCGGCACCCTAACGATACCGAGTCTACACAAAAGCACCTGTCTGACCAATGCCAGACCAACGGGCGGCACCTCTAGGTAACGATACCGAGTCTACACAAAAGCCGGGGCTGCTTGGTCCGTGTGCAGAGGGATCGTCGCACAAGCTCATCCGCAGTTGAGGTCAGGCTTCGACCGATTAGACAGTCCGACCAATAGGAGGTTTCGTGGCGAGCGGGAACCGGTCAAGCGGTTGACTAAGGTCAAGGGTCAGGGAGCCCCGTCAGGAAACATACGGCATAGCCACGAGTCGAAAACGCGAGAGCAACGAACTGTGTGCGATGACGACGTTGCGAAGTCGGGAGAGGATTCTTTATTTGATGTCAATTTGCCGTCTTTACGCAACCTGGGAGTGATGCACTCTGCGCAGCTGACACACCGCTTTGCCTCTCTACCTAGGTAAAACAGTGACCGAACATAGCAGGTGGCGCCTTCTTCAGTTGCAGAGCCCACGAAGCATACTGTCATCATCTACGCGATCATGGTATTGCGACATAGTAGTCGCGCACCATACTGGAGTATGCACACCCGTGTATAGAAAAAGCAGTTTATTGAGGAGGCCAGATCGTCATTCGTCGTCTGCGCATTGTCGAAGAAAAGCCACGGCTTCTGCATAAAGCCGTGGCTTTTCTTAGGTGCCTAATCATCACCTTCGAATTCAGTGTTAGTCCACAATCACTCTGGCCCCAACAGTCTCGCAACATCTCACTCCGAACTATCCGACTACCTCTAACCTCTAACAGTACCTACAAGTACAAGCTATGCTGCAAGCCTCGAGCTTCTAGTTGAGCTTAGCAACTTACCACATCCCTAACATGCACTTCTTGTTTTCGAGCAAGGTACTTTTGCGAGTCTCAATAATGCTATATTACACCGTAGCAGGAACTAAAAGAAATAGTAGGCTAATCAAAGGACATGTCGTGTTAGGTAGGTGGATAAGTAAGCCGGCTGCCGAACCAGAAGCCACTTGACCAGGTAACGGCAGCCATCGAACATCCACTGGAGCATGAAGCAAGAATGCGCGATATAAGTAGGCAAAGACTGGATTTCGTGAGTTCCTAATCGCTCCGTCCATCAACCACCCCATCCCCCAACCTACGAACTACAGCTCTGCCTCCACCAAATCCCCGCAATACTAACATCCAAATTACACTGCTCCCCCGGCGGCACAATCCAGCACTGCAACGCATCATTCGCGGCGGGACTCTTGATCTTAACAACAACATCACACCTGAGATGGTTCACCATGCCCGCAAACGTGTCAGGCCCATACTTCCCCTCTTTGAAAGCGACCGTGAATTGCGCTTGGTTGTGCTCGGGGTCGTTGTGCCCGTTGGATTGCACGGCGATGTCGGGCCCGTTGGGGGCGGAGCAGCGGGAGGTTTGGTAACAGGCGAGCGTGGTTGTGGCACTGGCGAGGAGGGTGAGGGTGAGGGGGAGGGGGAGGATTTGGAAGCGCATTTTGGGCTGGGTGGGGTTAGTGCTGGGGTAGGTGGAGGAGGATGGAATAGGTGGGAGTGTTATTTACCTTTTGGTAGGGAGGAAGGTAAGTGATGGTGTTTTTGTGGAGCGTGGGCGTTGTGATGTTGGTGGATAGAGACGCTGGATCTGTTCGATGAGTTTAAAGAGATGGTCAGGTCGGATCTTATATACACATCTCTCGTGCTCGGTGAGCATACAACTTCGTACGTAGAGCGTACTAAGCAACGATTTTCCAGTTGTGTAATGCTTGATTACAGCCTCTACACCGTGAACTTCCGCCTCACCGGATGAACACAGCATCCGCCGGACAGTGCACGGTTGACTATCCGCCAATGGCCTCAACAAGAGGGAGAGAGAGGCCTCATTTCAAAAGTCTATACCCTACCTCACAAGGAGACGACGTGTAACCATACCTACGCCAGCCCGCGCTATGTCGAACTAGAATCCGGGGGCAACTCCGGGCTTACACCCGGCGAAGCCGCTGTAACCCTCGCGAGGTATTCTACCATGTCAGCGCAGAAGAGAATACGCGTTTAATCCAGACCGCTTTTCGGCATCTTTTGCGATAGCGAAAGGTTAATGCGCACGGTGTAGAAGTCGATGTAGACACTCGGGGTAAATCACTGTACACTACATCCTTAGCGTAAACAACGGTGTACACCTGTATAAGCTCAACTCTGACCGCCGCAAGGCTGTCTTACACCGCTACGCCACGGAACCTCGAAGATACCAAAGCACGCGTACGATGATCAGTCATCTTCGTATCATCCCAGCAAAGCCGCGCGGTATACCCTGAAGCCCTACCGGCAAAGAACCCATCAAGCTTCCCCCTAACATCCCTCACACCAACGTCGCGCGGTATACCCTGAAGTCTTACCGGCAAAGAACCCACCAAGCTTTCCCCCCAAATCCCACACACCAACGTCGCGCAGTATACCCCCTCAACCCTTACCCTTGAAGAACCCATCCAACCTCCCCCCAACATCCCGCACCCCCAACCCGCCCGTCAAACTCCCCCTAATCCACTTCGGCAATTTATCCTGAACCCGCCTACTCCCATACCGTCTATCCAACATCAATATCGCCGCATAATCACCTTTATGACGAATCGCCCTGCCCACACACTGATTCACCGCGCGCATACAAACGTTCTCGTAGAATTCGCGCGCAGCAGCCTTGCCATCACCACCACCACCACCGCCGCTTTTCGCTTGTGTTTTGGCGGAAATATACTGCATCTTCGCCTTCCATTCCGCAGAGTGTGGGTTAGGAAACGGGAGACCAACAACAACGACGCCGCGGCCGAGTGCGTCGCTGAAATTGATGCCTTCGGAGAGTGTACCGCCGATCACGGCGAAGAGGAGGGCGCCGCGGCCTTTTCCGGATGCTATTGCTGCGCTGTAGGCTGTGAGGACGGAGTCTGCGGTTGCTTCTTTGGATGGTGGGGGTTGGGTAGATGGTTGTTGCTTGCTGCGCTGCTCAAGGAAAACGGGTTTTGTTTGGGTGAATTTGTCCCAGAAAGTGGATGTGGATGTTGAAGGCGCGGGCTTGATGCGCTTCCACGCTGCGATGCAAGCGTCGAGGAAGGAGTAGCTGGGGAAGAAGACGACGACGCCATCGGGGATGTGCTTCGCGAATGTCAAGATGGCGGTGCCGAGATCGATCATCGTAGTCTCTTTGTTGCGGTTCTCGAAGGTGAAGTCGAATTCAGCGCCGCTTGTGCCTCGGACGATGGGTGCAGCGAGGAGGTTCGAGGGCGGAATGACGTGGCCGCAAGATAGTGTCATGATCTTCGATGGGTCCAGGTAGGATAGTAGATGCTGCTCGTAGTCGCTCATTGGCGACATGGTACCGCCGGCTAGTACGACTGCCCTGGCTTCTTCGACGATGTCTTTGAAGTGGTAGGTTGGGTCCAGGAGCATGTATCGTAGCGTGGTGCCTGAGACTTCTTCTTTTGCGTAGAAGAAGCGGCCTTCGCTGGACGGGTTCATTAATGACAAGAGGAAGGCTTGTACATGCATCAGAACCGGTACAGTATGTCGCGGCCCGTTCTTGGCCGACTTCACGCTTGGCTTCTGCGCGCTTCCATTCTCCGCTTGTTCGGCGAAGACGGTGTATCCGTCGACTTTGCGCGCCAGTCTGCTTTCCTGGAGATACGTGTTAAGCTTGTAGATATTGATCTGATCAACACCTTTTCCCGACATGATCGCAGCCATGTCTGCCAAGCCGTCTGTCGCTTTCGCATTGGCATCGATGGACTGTAGATACGCGATGATAGAGTCCAAGATACGGACTGTCTGGGCAACATACACGCGATTCTTCCCTTTGAGCTTGTTCCGGAACTTCTGGAGGTAGGCTGTGAGCTGGGCACGCGCTTGTTGTACTTGGTCGAGGGTCACGGATACGGAGTAGATGCCTGCGATGGCGTCCATCAAGTTGTGCGCTTCGTCTATGATGACGATGTGGTCTTTTAGGGAGAGGCCAAGTGCTTCACGAGCTGTGCGCTGGAGGAGTAGTGGGTAAGGTAGCGTTACGATCTGAGCTTGTCAGCAGATGAACACACGACAGGAAGATAGTCGACTTACCTCACAGTACTTGGTTGCTGGTCTAGAAGCGTAGTATGGACACACACCCAGCTTCTTACCCAACACCCCCAAGTCCTCGATATCTCTAATCTTCGCAAGCGCATGGTCGCGGAAGTCATTGACCAACGGCTCGCTTTCCTTGGTCGGCATATGCGGACACCGGCTTTCAGTCTTGCTGTTTTGCTGTAGCTCCAGACATCGTTCGTTGATGGCCGTGGCGCTACCGAGCTTGTTGACTTTACTGTTGATGCAGAGATTCTTCCTTGATCCAAGAGTAAGGTGCTTCACGTCTTCTACAAGCGTGTCTATTTCACCACCGCTTACATTCTCGTCAGGGGCGATGGCGGGCGGCATCTTCACGCGACCCAGCTCGCTCGAGAATTGCGTCAACTGAGAGTGTGTTCGCGAGCAGAAGAATATTTTCGTCTCGTCAGGCGCCTCTCCGTCGTCATCTTTTGATGCATCGGCGCTGTACCCGAGTGATGCCATCAAAGCCTGGGTTTCTGCCGACAGCCCAGACTCATCGAACGCGCCGGCTCTTGCCCGTTTGTGAGACTCCGCATCGCTTTCGTAATCATCCAACGCGAACTGAGCTTCGTCGTCGTTCTCGATATCTCCCGGCGCAGTCTTCTGTCTCTTATACCTAGGCTCGCCGCTCTCATACCGTTCCTTCGCCCTCTTCTCTTTCGCCTTAACCTTAGCAATACGCTCATTCAGATCCTGTTTACGCCTCAACGCCTCCATCTTCCTCTGCTTCTGTGCGTGTTCAACAATCCACGACGGCTCCTCACTATTTGCTGCATCTACCGCAAAGCCTTCTTCGAACGTCCGTCGCTTATGATCGCGCAGCCAAGTCAAGGAGCCACATATCAAGCTCAGCGATTTGCCGGTTCCGGTCGGCGACTCGAAGATGCCGACTTTGCCTTCTTCCAGACACGTGTAGACAGCGCCCATGAACTCATTTTGGATGTCGTACGGCGTGTATGGGTGGTGGAAATCTCGTGTCGAGGTGGTGTTGGGCATTGTAGTTTGGTGTGGGTGGGTTGGGCGACGCGACGCGTGGAGGAAAACGGGTGTTCACGTGGTTCGTTTAGCGCCCCCGCGGCTACATCTCATGACGCGCCATTCATTTCGCATTTAGTTTTCAGTAATCCTGAACATTCTGAACTGTACATAGGCACTTTCTCGCCGCCCGCCACGAATTGGAATACTATCGAATACAAGCCAGAGCCCAGCAGCAGAAAGGTTAATGTGGGATCCAACACCTCTCTTGCCTCTACGTAGAAAAAGTAACGTCTAACGTTACACACGGAGACAGTAGAAATGAGTAGCCATGCTTGCGTAATCTTTGAAACAACGTACCACTGAAATCATATGGCCTCATCTCAACTCTTGACTCTCGTACTATCCATTATATTCCATCCCAACGACCTAAGTTATTATCCACCAAGCAACCCTCCAACCGTGCATACCACACACTTCCCCTCTCTCCCCTCCCCTCCCCTCCCCTCCATCTCACCCCACAATCCTCCCCCTCAGTTCCGTCCTCTTCATCACCTCCTCCTCCCCCAACCCATCCACCCTAACCTCCCCCTCCTTGCCCCCCTTCCCTACCATCCGAAACCCCTTCACCAATCCCGTCCCACTCTCCATACCTACACCCTCACCCCACCCCCAATTCTCCTCCATCCACGTAACCGGCCAAAGCAGCACAGTGCCCGCGACGCAAAACACCGTGGCCCACGCCTGCCAGAGCCAGATCAGCATCCAGGCGCCTGGCGCGACGAACCGTATCCATTGGTCGACTTGGTATAGGTCTTCTTGTTTGGAGATGTGGTATTTTGGTTTTGCGGATGGAGAGGAGGTGGTGGTGGTGGAAGGCGATTTGCGGAGGTGCAGTACGGTAGTGAGGCGGACGGGCGCGTAGTAGAAGGGTATAAACCAAATACGGAAGATTTGGAAGATGGTTGCGTATAGGATAAGGTTGGTTTCGTCGAATGCTGCCGTTCTTGATTAGCCCTTGCACTTCTTTCTTTCACTTCCTGGCACATCTCCTCGCGTCCAAGACCACCTTCTCGATGTCAAATCTCGTCTTCGCACGCAGTGCGAACACGCAGTGCGAAGATTGAGTAAGACATCCATCACCTCCCCATCTCCTCCCCCGCCCCCCCCTGGGTTATTACGTACCGACGCTCCCCACCGTACAATCAATCCTCGGACTCATAATCTTGTACCAGCGATACGTCCGTTCAACCAACCACCTAGAATTCGGTCGGCTCCATGTGCGGCAAAAGGGGTGCGAGAACGCGGCGTCGGGTGTGAAGTATTTGTCGATGGTTGCGCGTTGGAGGGACGGGGGTGATTGCGTGAGGAGGTGGATGATGGCGGGTATTTCTTTGACTGTTTTGCGATGGGAGGGCTTGCGTTAGCGGGATGCGCGTTGAGGATGGGGGGATGGGGGTTGGAGGAGAGGAAGGGAGGAGGGGAGCGGGCGACGTACCTGGGTCTTCCATTTCGGGTGCGCTGAGGGAGGTTATGTTATGGGGGGGATGCGACGGGTGTTTGGTGGGTGAATGCTTTGAGCTGTGCATGGCGCCGAGGTTTGACGCGGAGCGGACCAGGATGGAACGCGCTTGTGTGACGTCATTCCAGGTTTCAACAGGCTCACGATGCAACAGAGGAGATCGAGGTGGACAGGCAATGTGTTTATTATTTGATTACATCTGGGTCATCATGGATCTATCTCTTTTCTCTTTGTTCGATGAACGTGATCTACTGCGACCTATACTGCTGAATCTCCGCCTCATCAAGATGCCTCAGCTTATTAACATTCGGCGCCTCACCCGTCGCAATCCCCTTCGCCAGCTCCACAAGCCCGCCAATCTGCGTCCGCTTCGACACAGCGTACTGAGCCGTGCTGACCTTGACGCGGATGATGCCAATGCGCGGGTCCTCTGGGCCACCGTCGTGCTTGCCGTCACCGAGGTCGCCAATCCATGCCTTGAGCGCTGGAGAGTAGTGCTTGCGGACGACGTCGCGGTCTGTCTCGATGGAGGCGTGGCCGGAGATGGAGGCCCACTCGCCTGAGTTGTTGATGAAGCCGACGTTGACGGACTTGTGCTCCTTGAGGTCGTCCGTCTTGCCGGACTCGGTGTTGGTGTGGAAGAGGAGGTCGAAGCCGTGGCCCTCCTGTTGTTTGTTAGCTATGTCTTTGGTCATCAATTGGGTGTACAGTACCTTTGCAGCGACAGCCATGGCTCTTGAGGCCAGGAGGTCGCTGTCTGCGGCCTGTGTGGTCAACAGGCAGAACTTGGTCTTGTCGACGAAGTTGAGCAGGTCCTCGCACTTCTCCTTAAGCGAGGGCTCCTCAAGGTTCTTCTGCGTGTAGGGGTCGGCCGTCTTGGAGCCGGTGTCGGTGTTGCTGAAGCCAGACATGGTGATGGTGGTTGTAGAGAATACGCGTTGAGCGGCGTGGTTGTTTGGTAGCTGGGGAGAAGGCGTCAGCTTCTGCAGGCACAATGTTCGAGGCGACCTTCGCGCTGTCCTTGCGATGCACTGAGAAAGGAGACGAGAGGAAAGCATACCTTGGAATGGGTAGTTATCGTTAAGCAGGTAGTGTGTGGGAGAGGAGCTGAGAATGTCGCGCGACTTTGTAGGACTTTGCCAATGATGTCATCAGTACCACCACCACGCGTTTGGGAACCACATCCACCCCGCTATGTATGTGGGGTAACTCCTTCTGGCTGCCACCGGCACCGGCTCCTGTTGCGGATGGTCTAGTCTGTAGTTCAGGGTCTTGCGTCATGTCATGCTTCTTTGAGCTAATGACCAAGTTCTACATGCTTAGTCGTACATGTCACTTTGATCGACGCATTGAAGATGAGATGGTGATATTAACCTTTTAGGTCTGCTGCGCGTCTAAATGAGACACATCGTACTCCACTCCGTGAGCCCGTCCCATGCCATGCTGGTATCTCGTAACAATAGCGGACAATGTACCGATTCCAAGATCCCAAGCTAGAAATGAAGATGTGGGCTAGATCCTACACCATGCCAATGTCCCGGAAATATGACCCAAATTTTAGGAGGCTAACACCCCTAGTGACAATGCTTGACACTGCGCACTCTATGCGTCGGCGGCAGTCTCCTTGTCCTCGATCGTGGCCTTCTTGAGGTCGTCAGCAGCGTCCGCTGCGGCGTCCTTCTCCTGTGCAAGCTCAGCCTCGGCGGATGCGTCGCCGTTGACGGCCTGGTTCTTCTGGGCGGGCTTGCGGGCGGCATCGGTGCTGCCGTTGGCGGCGTCCTCGGCGGCTTCTTCAGCCTCAAGCTTGTCAATCTCCTTCTGCGCCTTGGCGATGTTCTGAAGACTTGTTAGCAGTATCCTCGCAGTCGTATATAGAATCACTCACCTCCTTGGTCTTGCGGTCCTGGTCCTCTTTCCAGTGGGCAAGCTTGGCCTGGAGCTTCTCGACGGTGGCGGGGACTTCATCCTGGCTTGATGGGGGGTCGACGCCGACCTTGGCGAGCTCCTCGATGATGCCAATGTTCAAGTTGAACTTGCTAGCAGCGGCGCCGCCCTTCTTGCCCTTCTTACCCTTCTTTCCACCGGTACCAGCCATGTAGCTCTCCTCCTCGGTGTCCTTCTTCGATATGCGGGTACCCTTGAGGCCCGAGTCGTCGACGGTGCGCTGGGCGGAAGCGGCGAACTTGCTGGCAGCGGTGGTCTCCTTGGCGGGGAGTGCGGAGGGGTCGAAGTGGCGGATCAAGCCCTCGCAGGCAATGATCTCGTCGCCGTAAGCGGGTGCGCTGGCCTCTTCGAGACGCTTGGAGGCAGTCTCCTTGCGCTTGCCAGCGACGTACTGGAGCTGCTCGAGGCGCCTCTTCTCGTTACGGATCTTGCGCGCCTCGAACTCGTAGTTCTTGAACGCGCGGAGCTGCTGGAAGTAGTTGTCCTTGAGCTCCTTGCGGGCCTGGTACTTCTCCTGCTGCACTGCGCGCGCCTTGTCGGTCTCCTCACGGAGCGATCTCAGGTTCTTAAAGGCCTCGTCTTGCTCAGCCTTGAGTCCGTCGAGCTCGGTCTGGAGCTTGGTGTACTTCTCGGAGAGGGCCTTGTTCTCCGGGTCGTCAAGAAGCTTCTTCTGCTCGGCGATCTGGGCCTTGATGTCGTCGATCTTCTTCTGCTGCGAGTCGAAGCCGGAGAAGTTCTTCTTGGCCTTGTTGAGGGCGCTGATCTCGGCCAGGGCCTTCTTCTCGTCGACGAGCTTCATCATGCCGCCGTCGACCTGCTTCTGCAGACGGGCAATCTCCTGGTCCACATCCTCGGCCGACTTGTAGTTGGACTTGCCCTTGGCCGTCTTGAGCTCGTTGAGCTGCTGCTTAAGCTGCTCGTCGAGCTTCTTGATCTTCTCGAAGATGGAGTTGCGGCCGGACTTGTTGCCCTGCTGGGTGGAGCGGATGGCGTTGAGCTCCGTCTTGAGCTCCTGCTGGCGCTTCGCGTTGGGCGAGTCCTTGTTGTTGGGCTTGGCGAGGTCGAGCTTGGCCTTGCACGCGTTCTGGGTGTCGTTAGTAATTTTCCCGAATTGAGTGGTGGTGTGCGATGCAGCCACCCGTCAGCTCGTGGCCGTGCGACTGCGCGCACCACACGGGGCCATGTACTCACCAGCTTCTCCTGGGCGGCGGCGTGCTCCTTCTCCAGCTTGGCGAGCTCCTCCTTGTACTTGTCCTCGTCGGGCTTGTCGGGCTTGACAACCTGCTGCTTGGCCGGAGGGGCAGCAGCGCCGTTGGTCGAGGCCTGGGCGGCGGGTGGAGTTGCGACGTCGGCCATGTTTGCTGTGCAGTCAATTGGGTTGAGGGGCTGACTGGGCGTTGCAGCGGGGGAGAGAGGTCTGCGAGAGCTGGGTAGACCGCCGAGTCGTGAATGTGCAGGCGAGGCGTGGAGGCGGTGGGAGGACAACTATTAAATTCGAGGGTCTCGAGTGAACCACGGATGCTGGCAACTTTTCCCGATGTTTAGCGGGCGGCCTAGTGTGCCGCCCGCAGTCTTGACCCTTCACTCGGGGCCTCGACCACGCACACACCAAACCACGGCTATGGCGGAACAATCGCGGGGCAGCATCCCCATTCTGCTGCTCAAGACCAAGTCAGTGCCCAAAGACACGTACGAAGAGCTGTTCCTTGAACTCGACAACGGCAGCTATGCGCCTGTCTTCGTGCCCGTCCTGGAGCACAGGTTCAAGCGAGATGCCCTGCGTGAGGTGCGCCAACATGTCACCAATCGCGGCTTCGTGCCACAAGCGCAGCAGGGTCTCGCGACATATGGCGCGCTGATTTTCACCTCGCAGCGTGCAGTCGAAGCCTTCAGCGAGGTTGTCGAGGATATCCGCAGAGAAGGCGCCCTCGACATCGACGACCTGCTGCCAGAGAGTCTGCCGCTGTACGTAGTAGGCCCAGCTACAGCTCGCGGACTGCGATCTCTGGGTCTTAAGTGTCCAATCCTGGGAGAGGAAACCGGCAACGGCGAAGCTCTGGCTGGCTTCATATCGAAGCATTACAACGCCCTTTATCCAGGTGTTGCGAATCCGCCCGTACTGTTCATGGTCGGCGACAAGAGGAGGGATATAATACCAAAGACCCTGCAATCAGAAGAGCTGGATCCAAAAGAGAGGGCGCGAGTAGATGAGCTGGTTATATACGAGACTGGAGAGATGCAGTCTTTCAAGGAGGACTTTTCGACAATCTGGCGCAGAAACGCGGATCAGGGCTCGAAACGGCAGTGGGTCGTTGTATTCTCTCCAAGCGGATGTCAGGCGATGCTCGAGAGCCTGGGTCTTCTGGACATGGAGACTGGGAGAGCCAAAGCCACTGCTGATCAGAGAGATATCCTGATATGCACCATCGGTCCGACCACGCGCGATTATCTGAAGCAGGAGTTTGGCTTCACTCCTGATGTATGCGCTGAGAAGCCAAGTCCGGAGGGCATCGCCGACGGCATTCATGCCTTTCTCGAGAAGCACGAATAAGCAATACCGGTTGTGGCTTCGTCTACGTGGACCGGGGTGCGCTCGATGAAAGGACGTACGATACGAAGGCGTTGTATATCAGCTTCGATAGGTTTGCTACATCAAGCGCGTGAATGCGCGACACTATTTCACGCGCTCTCAAATCCTCGCTCATGACCGCTCGCGGCTTCCGTCTGATGGTCCAATACTGCACGTGCCTTCCTGACGCGTCGATGTGCTAATGACTGCCATTGACGTCACCATTTCACGCGACGCGCCTGCCACAAACCACCAGCGCGCGCAAACATCCGCCCCCTTCATTACTCCTTTGCTTTGTCTCCCATCCTTCTCTCATCCCTTCACTTATATCTTCAATAATCTACACCAATTCACTCAATTGACCTTACTGCAGCTACAATGGCAGGAACACGCTCATCGGCTCGCAGCACCGACGGTGGCTCCAGCCCAGCAAAGGGTAACGATGTCGCAGCCGGCACCAAACGCAAGCCCGAAGTCGAGCCGTCTCCCAAGCGCGATCGCAAGGCGTCCAAGAAGCAAGCTACTATCGAGGAGACAATGGACACCAGCAAGGAGTCTGACAGCGAGATGAAGGACGCCTCGGATGGGGGTCAAGACTCCAAAGATGTAGAGGAGGCCGAGAAGAAGGCCGCGGAAGACCTCGTCGATGCGAGCGATGCGACGGCATTGGCCAATGGCGATGGTGACAAGCCTGCATCAACCGATGTGGAGACTACCGACGACCAGGCGGAACAAGACACCGACGCCGCCCCCAAAGCCGAAGAGACTACACAGACAGAGAAGAGCGAAGACAAATCGGAAAACGCGACAAAGGAGACTAGCGCAGATGGCGAAGGCGCGATCGAGGAGTCCTCCCAACGCGCAAAGCAAATGCCGTCCAACATTCTTGAAAAGGGCGTGATCTACTTCTTCACCCGCAACCGCGTCGGCGTTGAGGACTCTGAGAGCGTCGGCGACCTTCAACGCACCTTCTTCGTCCTCCGACCAATGCCATCCGGAGCCAAGCTAGGCGACGGTGCCCTCGCCGACGACAACAACATCCGACTCTTTGCGCTGCCCAAGAAGGTCTTTCCCAAGTCGCACAATGATAAATTCATGGCATTTGTCGAAAAGGCGAACACTTCCATCAAAGAGCTGAAGGAGAGCTTTTTTGGTGCGGACGAGTACGAGACGAAGACACAAGGCAGTCGACGCACCGAGCCTGTGGCGCCTGTGGCGGAGGGCGTATATGCCATTACGCGCACTGAAGACCGGACGTGCCATCTCGTATACTCCACCACCATACCTTCCGAGCTTGGAGAAGTTCAGGAAGACCTAGGTATCAAGGACCAGGGCAGCTTCGTCATGAGCGTCAAGAACCCTGAGCGCAGCGGACCGGCTTCCGCCCAGCTTCCTCAGAAGCCCGAATTTCCCAAGGAGTAAGTGATTCCGATCTGACTATGTGTTCATGACTGACCATTGCCAGGTTCATCGACGAGTTCCGCGGACTGGCTTGGGTCGAAGTCAAGCCAAAATACCTGGACTACGAGTACTGCCAGATCCTGCTCATCGGCGAGAAGATGGAGAGCGGCGTCGAGCCTACTACCAAGGACCAGAAGCATGACAAGGAAACTCCACAAGAGGAAATTGAGAAGCTTGAACATGAGGATGAGCTGCGCGTCGAGCATCTTCATGGTACGTTGTTAAGTAGCTAGCAAATGTGATGTGTGCTAATCAAATCTAGGTGACGATTCTGTCTATGACGACCTCAAGATCAGCAAGAATGAATACCCGCAGGTCGCGACAACCTGGTGAGCTCTATCTCAAGCTCGGCGTTATGCGATATCAACGATCTTCTCCCGAATTTACTGTACAATATCTGGGCCATAGGCGTTCAAGGGCGCGATACATATCACGGCATAGTCTCTGACACGGAGTGTCGGATGCAAATGATCAAAGGAACTGATTTTAGGGTTTTGTTCTACCCACGGCTTTGATAGTACCGAGTCGCAATATATTAATTGATTTCATCCTACGCCTCCCAAAGGACGCAACTGATGTACAACTCTTCATCTCTCATCATTATGCTGAACTTACGAATGGTAACTCAATTGAGTAAGCCGATTGGACAGACCCTTGGACTCCTGTTTCCGATGCCATCGCGACAATCTCCGCTCATCGCTCACTGCTCACCGCTAACAATACCGCTATCCTCATCACCGCGAAGCTGCTACTAGAAACAGTCCGCCCCAAACTCGACTCTCTTTATCGATTCTATACCTCACTAACACCCTTTTTACACCAACGACCCTTTAGTCCATATATCGCCGCGTCTCTCCCACGATCTCCAGCATTTGCATCACCATGCCTCCCTTCCCGAAGTCCGTCGCTGGGGACTCCAAGTCAGTTCTCTGGCTCCTCCAGTCCTTCACCATTGGCAAGGAGCAGAAGACTACAGGTTCTACGTACCTCTTTCTGGACCGCGCAAACGCTGAATTCGGCTTTGTTGATAGCACGTCCTTCGGCAATATTGCCTCTGTTCAGCGCCTTCCAGAAACCGGTGAGCCTATGTACTTCCAGGCCAAGACCGCTCGCGCAGCAGCCTGGCGGGACAAGAGCAAGAAAGTATCGATCCTGTTTCAGCATCTACAGATAGATTTGGAGTTTGTGTTGCCGTACCAAGCTCGCGGCTTTCTCGATATCCTGGAGGACATTGCGACAGCAGCTGGCAACCACTTCTTCTACAGCTATGAAATTCCACAGTATGTAACAGTCCGCATTTAATACTGTGTCTGGGACTGACGTGGTGCTAGAAAGGTCGCGTTCGTCAAGGCCGACTTCGACATGGAACAGCAGGGCTTCACGAGCCGAGCTCCGCAGCCTTGGATGGCGGTCCCTACTGATTCGTCTGAGTGGCCTCGTCTACGGAAGACGGGCGAATGGTCAGACTTCACCGTTTTCGCAGGTGGCAGCCAATTCCGCGTCCATCGCGTCAAGCTTTGCAAAGAGTCATACTACTTCAGAGCAGTATGCAGCGGCGGCTTCTCCGAGACCGCAAAGCAATCCATCGAACTCCCAGAGTCAGCACAAGTCATCTCCATTCTCCTAGATGAGATGTACGGTGTCTACAACACCACCACTGGTTCCATTTTCACCAACTTCGCTCTTCGTATGGAAATTGAGAAAGAGCTCATGATGAACCAACTCCTGGATCTCTTCATCGCCGCGGACAAGGTAACTGCTCTCGTACCTCTATTTCCCTACCTTCATACTAACCCCCAACCCAGTACAACCTCGAGAACATCAAGCGCCGCGCGGCCGAAGCCATCGTCGACCGCCTACCCTTCATCACCGACCCGCTCATGATCGTCGACCTCGCAACATGCATCTACCACGAGCAATGCCCAGAGAACGACCGCGGACTGCGCAAGGCTATCATCGAGTGCGTGAGGATGAGGATGCCTGCTATACTCGAGGATGAGAGTGCGTGGGAGGAGTTCTCGGAGAACAAGAACGTACTGAAGGCCTTCCACATGTCGCAATGTGAGGCGGTTGAGGGTGGTGGTATGATTGGGTGGGGAGGCGGAGGTAATATGATGACACCGCCTGCTACGCCTAGGTAGGGAACTTTTCGAGAGGAGGAGGGGATGGTGGCTTGAGGGGTTTGGCTACTGGTATGTAGGAGGATTGATTTGCTAAGAGGTAGTCAGGGCGGATGTACTTGCGGTCGGCACTCGATCAGATGCGTTTGATGCAAAGGCCTTGATGCACTTTGGCTGGACTGTCGCGCACCCTTCAAGTCCGCTTCGAAGGGCGATCGCGATTCTATTAACTGTACCTCCGGGCCTTTCTTCTTGAGCGAGTGTATTCGGCAGAAGCAATATTTGCCCACTAGTAGCATGCCCAGCTCGCGATAGCTATCAGTCCTAACTGCATTTAAATATGATGGTTCATGTGCGATTGCGAAAGGCATGGCTTTGAACGGTTGTGATGTGTTGTGGGGTATTCAGCCACCAATCCGGCCTAGACCGGACACGAGCACCGTCTCACCTTCCCGAGGCCGCGAACGCGTGTCTTCATCTCCAATCTCATCAACTCACGGCTCAGTCTCCATATTTCAGGCAACACCGCGCCGCCATGAACGCAATACGCATTCCGACCATGCCATGAGCGTGCGCACAGGATATAGCAGCAAGAGACTTTGATCGCCGTGACGGGTCCCAATCAAGTGAATAGGACCACCAAGCACCAAGAGAGCATAACCAAGGAACACCTAATCGAACAACTCAATTCAAGATGGCTTCATCTTGGCGACAGAATGGTGAAGAGCGGGGTGCCTACACGACTGTTGCGCAGACCGAGACTGCAAGTGCACACCTCACAGTACATGACAAAGACGTCACAAATGAAGACGCGGATGCCGTTCCTTTTGAAGCGCCTGTTCACATTGGCTCCATACCGACAGCAGAGGATCTGCTATTTCTGCCTCGCGTAGCGGATACGTTGCCATATGGCGCTTTTCTAGTCGCCGTTGTCGAGCTTTGTGAGCGCTTCGCCTACTACGGACTCTCCGGGCCCTTCCAGAACTACATCGCCAACGAATACAACGACCCCAATGGCCTACCTGGCGCTCTTGGCTTGAAGCAGAGTGGTGCGACAGCGATGACGAACTTCTTCCAATTCTGGTGCTACCTCACGCCTTTATTTGGCGCCGTTGTTGCGGACCAGTATCTGGGGAAGTATGCGACGATCAAGTGGTTCAGTCTGGTGTACATGGTCGGCATCGCGATTCTCTTCGTTACCAGCTTGCCGTGGGCGGTTCGAGGCGGAGCCGCATACCCTGGACTTATTGTCGCGATGCTGATCATCGGCCTGGGTACTGGTGGCATCAAGAGCAACGTGTCGCCGTTGATCGCGGAGCAAGTGCGGTCTAACAAACCTTTCGTCAAGGACCTGCCTGGAGGAAAGCGCGTCATCGTTGATCCGGAGATTACGGTGCAGAGGATCTACATGATATTCTACATGTGCATCAATGTAGGCTCGATCTCTGCGATCGCAACGACTATGTTGGAGTTGCATGTCGGATTCTGGAGTGCTTATCTTCTACCATTGGTTATGTTCTGCGTGGGCTATGTGGTGTTGGTGAGAGGAAGGAAGCAGTACATCATCAAGCCACCTCAAGGTGGCGTGATTGGAAACTGCTTCCGCGCCCTATACATCGCCGCAAGGAACGGCGGAGATCTTGACAAAGCGAAAGCTTCCGCTCAAGGGCACGGAAGAAGCAGGTCGAAGGTGACTTGGGACGACAAGTTTATCGACGAGTTGAAGACTGCGCTGGTCGCATGCAAAGTCTTTCTGTTCTTCCCTATCTACTGGCTCACGTACTCGCAGATGCTGAACAATTTCGTCTCACAAGCCGGTCAAATGGAGTTGCATGGCCTTCCCAACGACATCCTTCCCAACATCGATCCCGTCACCATCATCGTCCTTATCCCAATCATGGACCGCCTCGTCTACCCGTTCATCCGTACACGACTGCACATCGCACTGATGCCAATAACGCGCATCTTTCTCGGCTTCCTCATGGCCGCGCTCGCCATGCTATACGCAGGCGCTCTCCAGTCAAAGATCTACGCGACACCACCTTGCTACTTCAGCCCATCGAACTGCGACGCGGGAAAGATCAGCGAAGGGAAGTTCAAACCAAACGAAGTCCACGTCGCATGGCAAGCCCCAGCATACGTGTTAATTGCACTGAGTGAGATTCTCGCTAGTGTTACCGGCTTGGAACTGGCATATGCGAAGGCACCCGAGAATATGAAGAGCCTCATCATGAGTCTCTTCCTACTTACAAGTGCGGGTGGAAGCGCTCTGGGTATCTTGATCGCTCCATTGGCAAGAGACCCGCACTTGCAGTGGTTATACTTTGGATTGGCGTTGATCGCTGGAGTCGCCGGCGTTGTGTTCTATCGCATGTTCAAAGACGTTGATGACGGCCCTGCCGCAAAGTTGGGAGATGCTGGAGAGTACGAGTTGACCGGACGAGCGAGCGCTGACGATGATGGGTATTACAGCGATGATGCAGACCCTGCTCCAGGCTCGCAGCGCGCCTGAAGTACGACAGCTTGAGGTGGGCCATCCACCTGCATCCACCCTCAAGCCATGAGCCGGCCGCACTTCCGCTCCACTGTTCCGCTCCACTGTTCCGCTCCACCCTTCCGCGCAATAAGTCCTTTTCTCTCCCTTAGCTTGGGTGCCTAAGCTAACATCGGTGTGGCATGCTGTCGGATCTTCCTGTGCGACCAGCTATTCCCTGGAGGCGTGATTCTACCATTACCAAATCCTCAATGCCACAAGGGCTTTTATAGAACATCATCGTCAATGCTGCGCGCTTCAGATGGATGACCTCGAGTGTCTGCTGTGTACAGAACAAGAAAAAGCATAGCCGAAAATTGGGGCGCGGCAACCTGTTGATGTCATCGTTCATTATCTCCGAAAACCGCTTAACAGCGCCAAAATCCTTCACATTTCCACTCACGTCGCGACCCTCCGATCACTCTGACCCATCAGCATTGGCTTATCTGTGCGGATGGAGTCATCGCAGTTCAACTCATGGGTTGCAATTCAGAAACATACAGTTTCAAAGTCAGAGCTGACGTTGGATTGACCTCTCTGATTCGATGACGCTGTGGATTTATGCGGACGCTCGGTTGGCGCCCTCCGCGGAATGACGAGCTCCGAACCCTTACCAACCATGGCCTCGGCCGAACCGATTTCATCATCCGCGCAGCAGTGTGGCTTGAGTAGTCCTATGTATAACGCACCAAGCCGTGGGGAAAGGCTTGTTTCCACCTGTGCCTTCTCCCCATATCCGCAACCTGACCGTCAACCATGGAAAAGCTCGAGCGATTCTTGTCGCGGCCGACAGCGAAGCCATACAAGACCGGCGACATAGAAGCCTCCGAAGAAATACACCTTAACGACGAAGGGTTGCTTGAGTTTGGCCCTGACGATATCGAAAATCCTAAGAACTGGTCCACCGCAAGAAGATGGTACATCACCGTGGTGTCGGTCACCCTAGTTGTGAACGCTACATTCGCATCTTCTAGCCCATCTGGCACGCTTGAGTCACTCTCGACAGACTTGCACGTCTCCACCGAAGCTGGGGGACTCGTTATCACATTGTTTCTCCTAGGGTACTGCGCTGGCCCCTTGGTATTCGCCCCGCTTTCGGAATTCTTCGGTCGCAGATACATCTTCTACGTTACCTTTACGCTGTACCTGGCCTTCAATTTCCTTTGCGCGTTCACCCCTAACTTCGGTGGGCTCTTGGTGGGACGGTTCTTGACGGGTACCTTCGCAAGTGCTCCTCTCTCCAACGCACCAGGTGTACTGGCAGACATATGGGGACCACTGGAGCGTGGAAATGCAATGGCTGCCTTCTCCATGATGACTTTCATCGGTCCATCGCTCGGACCCGTTATATCAGGCTTTCTCCAACTGAAGAAAGACTGGCGATGGTGCTTCTACGTTCTTCTCTGGCTGGGTGCCTTTACCGAGATACTCATGTTCACGATTCCGGAAACATTGCCCTCAATCGTGCTCCGCAACAAAGCCAAGCGCATACGCGCCCTGAAGATCCCTGGCTATGAACAGGTCAAGGCACCAGTTGAAGTGACGGATAGGACACTCGCAAGCATGTTCCATGTTGCTCTCACTCGACCATGGAAGATCCTCATCGACCCCATCTCCTTCGCCGTCGCCATTTACCTTGCCGTCGTATACGCCCTGCTGTACATGCTCTTCACCATCTACCCCATCGTCTTCCAACAACACCGCGGCTGGAACTCCGGCGTCGGCGAACTCCCACTCATCGGCTCTGCCCTCGGTGCCGCCATCGGCGGCGCCATCATTTTCGCGAACACAGCCAGGGACAGAAAAAGAGCGGAAGCCGGCTACAAAGCCACACCCGAAGACCGTCTTCCTGTAGCCATGCTCGGCGGCGTCATGTTCCCCATCACCATGTTCTGGTTCGCGTGGTCGGCAGAGTACAACAGCGTTCACTGGGTCGTTCCTACTCTCGGCGGTGTCTTCCTCTCGACTTCTATCTTACTCATCTTCGTCGCTTATCTCAACTACCTCACCGACACGTATCTCATGTATGCTGCGAGCGCGTTGGCAGCGAATACCGTTGTGCGCTCCGCCGCAGGAGCTGCTGCGCCGTTGTTCACACAGTACATGTTCGACGCTCTTGGTGTTGGGGGCGGTGGCTCGCTTATTGCTGGCATGGCTTGCGTGCTTGCGCCTATTCCTTTTGTGTTTTATAAGTATGGTGGCCCGATTCGGGAACGCTCGAAGTTTGCGCCTACGCCGGAGAAGGCGAATGAGGGGAATGGGGCGAAGTAGCAGGCAGACAGTCGCGCCAGAAAAGCGAGTTGATACATATCATAGCTGCAATATCCAATCAGGGTTTTAATGTAATCATTGCTTCCCCAGAACGAAACGGAACTCGCCGCATTTGATTACTTCGATACTGGCCCTCGTCATCTCCTGCTCGTGGTACAGTCTGCAAAGTTTGTGAGCATACCAAATAGCGATCTTGCAGAAAGCGATTTATTGCTCGCTAGCTATGTTTCTATGAACCGCCGACGAGGACGGCTGATGTTGGCATGCTTACATCAACGGCATCTACCGGAAGCGTTCTGTCGACTACTGGGTGCTATGTCGGCTCCATTTCGCCCGATCCTCAACGTTCGTGTCGGGCCGTGGACTTGCACCGGCAGCGCATCGTTTGCTTTGCTGTTGGCAACAGAGGACGCTCACGGGAGAGCCCGTCATGAGATCCCATAGAAGGACGCGACTAGAGTGCGCGTGCTGGCCTGTCGTCCTCTGTTATTGTGGCGAAGCATCTTCAGTCGGGCGATCTTTCGACTGCGCTCGTTGCAGCTGACGTCTGTGTTTCTTTGCGACAATGGGCGGCGGCGTGTTGTTGGCTTTACGTGGCCTCGCGGTTGTCCATCCACATGTACTAGAAGCAGACTGGACGGGTGCGCATCACGGTCAGACGTACGGCGCGAGAGCTGCTTGTCTAAGGCCAGGGTTCTGGCACGAGGCCGACGGCGTTCATGTCCACAGCTGCTAGTCTTGTTTTCTTGTGTCAAGATGAGCTTTAGCTGAGGAGCACGTCCGTCATCTTTGCAAGTGCGACGCGCATTGCGCTGACGCTCCCAAGCAGTGCTGAGCCTCTGAACACGACGCCGGTGTCGGGATGAGAAGGAACATGCTATATTGCCAAACAATCGTGGCATACCTAGCGTAGTAAGCAATCAGTTGATTCAATGCCCGGATAGTGCCGGTAGGGAAGAGCCAGCGTTCAGTCAATGCGTGGATGTGGAACGCGGGGGATCTTTCCAGCGATCCTCCGTGATTGGTCGAGAACGCCCGTAGCGCGCTCCGTACTATAGATGTAATAACTATAAAAGCTTTGCGAATTAATAACTTACTTTGTTAGCTGTTTAGTAATAATATAAAGCAAAATATATAATATTTTAGATATAATTTAATATTTAAAAAGACTATAAACTAGTGTTAATATAGTTATATAACATAATAGTTATTATTTTAATAGTATAACAAAATTATTAGCTAATAATAATATTAGAACTTTAAAGCTATACCTATTAAGTTAAATATTATAATAGTTATATATTTTACTTTATATTATAGATAATATATATTTTAAATACTTTTGTAATTATTATATAACTAAGTAAATAGAGTTCTAAACTACTTTTATAGTGCTTATATAATAGTTAAGCTATTAATATAGTTATATATTAAAATATAAATTACTTTATAACTCTTTTCTATCTATAATTATAGTACGTAATTTTAGTGCCTTTTTCTAGATCTAGTTATTTGTATAGGCTTTATAAGTAGATAGTTTAGCTTAATTAGATATATTAATTATTATTTATAGATGCTAATACTATAATATATAGTATTAGAAATAAAACACTAAGAAGGCTTTATATTACAAAACTTCTACGCTGTTATATACCTCTCTAGTAGTATCTATAGCTAATTTTTAGCTAGTATATTAGCGTATATACTCTACTTCTTAGTAGACTACTAATATAATATTATAACTAGCCTTCTTATTTTCTTATCTTAGATACTTTTCTATCTATTACCTAGCTCTCTATAAAGACCTTTTATTAGTTCTTTTTATTTATAGAATAGTATAAGGTATATATTACTTATTATCTATTAATACCTAATACTAGAAAAGTAGCTAGCTATTCGCGATAGTAGCTATTATATAAAATTAAATATAATATATATTTTATAAGTATAGTGTATATACATTAAAGAATAGTAGAGAGTTAGTTATTATATATAAAGAGACTAATTACTAAGAATTTAGTAATAAAGCTAGAAATAGAGTAGCACTATTATTAGTTACTATTTACTAGACTAGGCGCTTATAGAGAGAAGTATATATTAAAAGCTTTCTATTAACTAAGAAGCTAAGTATACTTCTTATAGAATAGATTAGACTAGAGAATAAGTACTTTAAGAATAGAAAGATTTAGTAGTATATAATTTAAGTTATATAATAGACTAGCGTAGTATAGCTCTAGCTTAGAGTTAGCTTAGAGAACTATAGTTATTAATAGATATTAGTAATATATACTTTATAACCTCTTCTCTTTTAGGTACCTACTTCTAAATATATTACTAACTCTTACTATTATAATCTAAAGACTAGACGTATTAATATTACTATTATAATATAATATAGCGTCTTAGCTACCTTTTAATATTATATCTAGCTATTAATAAGTCTTCTCTCTATTACTCTATTATATAGATATTAGCTTATATCTATTCTTTATTCTTTCTCTAGCGCCTATAGTAGAAAGACTTAAAGCCTTTCTAAAATATCTAGCTCTTAGTAGTTATCTTACTACGCACTTTCTCTAGCGCCTATAGTAGATAGACTTAAAGCCTTTCTAAAATATCTAGCTCTTAGTAGTTATCTTACTACGTACTTTCTTTAGTCTTTATCTACTATTATTATAACTAGCCTAGCCTATAAGATAAAATCTATTCTCTTTATATTTTTCTTTATAATAACTCTATCTATATAGAAGCACTAATATATATATTAAGCGTACACTCTAGCTAGCTATTACTACCTACTACGCCTATTACTACTTACTACGCCTACTACGCCTACTACGCCTATTACGCCTACTACTAGACTAGTACGTAGTTATCTATTCTCTTTCTCTTTCTACTATTACTAGTTATTAGGCCTAATACCTCTAGTACTTCTAATAAGATTAATATCTATATTCTAGACTAGTTATCTATTCTTCTTCTTTTACTACTATTACTAGTTATTAGACCTAGTACTTCTAACAAGATTAATATCTATATCTATTCTTTTTCTCTTACTACTATTACTAGTTATTAGACCTAACGCTTCTATAGTATATAATAAAATTAATATCTATATTCTAGACTAGTTAGTGCGTAGTAGTAGCTGCGTAGTTATCTATTCTTTTTCTTTTTCTACTATTACTAGTTATTAAGTCTAGATTAGATATTATTAATGCTATAGCTATCGCTAATACTAGATTAGCTCTATACTTATTATTAGTTTATTTAAATTTATACTTATATATCTATAGATAGCTACTTAGTTACTTCTACTAACTTATAATAGCGCGCAGCGTTTATAAGCTCTACTTATATTATACACTTACTATTTACTATAACTTTACTACTTTAGAGCTTAGACTATAAAGCTATCTACTAGTAAAAATTCTTCTATTATTACTCTACTTCTATCTCTATTACTCTTACTTCTATCTCTATCTCTATTTCTATCTTCTTATTTATTTTAACTTTCTTATCTATAGCTACTATAGTAATAGTATAGCTTCTTATAATTATACTTTTTTAATAGCTATTACTAGAAGATTAAAATAGCTAAAACTACTCTAAAGCTCTATTTAGTAGTAGTAGTAGTAGTAGTAGTCTACTTTTAAAGAGACTTTACTTCTTTATAGCTATTTATATAAAGCTTCTACTTAAAACTACTAGCGCTACGCTTCTACTTAAAGCTACTAGTATTATACTTTTACTTCTATAGCTACTCTTATAGAGCTTCTACTTAAAACTACTAGCGCTATACTTTAGCTTAAAGCTACTAGTATTATAGCTTTTAGTAACTTATTATTATTAGTTAAACCTAGATACGTAAATATAACTTATATATTCTATTACTAATAAAACTCTAAATAGATCTTAATTATACTTTTAATAATATAGTCTATTACTATATATTAATAACTTTCTTAATACTAAGTATCTAATATATCTTTATATATTATATTATTCTTTTTATTACCTTATATAACTATAAAGTACTTTAATATATATATCTATATTATATACTATTATTATATACTATTATTATATACTATTATTATATACTATTATTATATACTATTATTATATACTATTATTATATACTATTATTATATACCTTATACTATATACTTTAATATTCTAAGTAATAGTTTTTATAAGAGTAAATATATCTAGATAGAGTTAGAGGTAGCTATATAGAATATAATAAAAGAGATAGCTATTTAGTAGAATAAGAATATTATCTAATTCTAAAGAATAATAATCTTAGAATAAAGTTAAAGGTAGCTGTTTAGAATATAATAAAAGAGGTAGATATCTAGTAGAGTAAGAATATTATCTAGTTCTAAAAAATAATAATCTTAGAATAGAGTTAGAGGTAGCTATCTAGAATATAATAAAAAAGGTAGGTATCTAGTAGAGTAAGAATATTATTAGTATCTACTACTAGGTTAGTATTCTAAGGTATGTATATAGAAGAATAAAAAGGTATAAGATACTAGGCCTAGTAGAGGTATAGAATATTAAGTAATATTTACTAAATTAGTAAAGATTTAGATCTAAAAGCTACCTAAGAAGCTAAAAGTATTAGTAAATATTAGAATTATATAGTAACTTCTTAGATCTTAGAAATAGTTACTTAGCTTAGGTTAGCCTTAGACATAATAATATTCTAGAATATTCTAACTACTATCTAGGCAAGCTTTTAGATTGCTAGAAGTGTTAGCCTTATAATTTTTAATATCTATATTCTATACCTAGACGCGTTTTTAGCTATTTTTAACTATATAGTTTTTAATACCTATATTCTATACCTAGATATATTCTTAGCTATTTTTAACTACTATAATAAGCTATTTCTTTCTAGTATTTAGTATAAATATTTCTACTTTAATATTATTATATATCTACTATAAACTAGTTTTAAGAAGTAAAAGCTTAATATTTATCTTTACGTATATTCT